GCCAGCCGGGCCCGCTCGCTCTCCCTTCGCGGGGGCGCTGCCTCGGGCGGTTTCCGTAGCCGTTGCGTTGCGAACAGCGTAACAAAAAGAATCGTTACGGCGTGTTTATGTAACTGGGGGGAGGGTTCTTCTGAATTCAGGTTGCCTTCGCTCCTCTCCTGCAGGACAAGGAGAAGAAAAAGAAGGAGAGTATTTTGGATCTCTCTAAATACATCGACAAAACCATCCGGGTGAAGTTCCAGGGGGGCAGAGAAGGTGAGCTGGTGGGCGGCCTGGGCCTCTGCGGCCCGAGGCGGCTGTGCCCTGGGCGGGTGCCCTGCGCTCTGCTCGGCGGCTCTTGGCTCCTGGGAGGGCTCGTTGCTGGCGTTCGAGGACGGACCATGCGTACCGGGGGCTTTTATTTGTTGCTGGTTGATGTTGCCGGTGTGAAGCTCATCTCCCTTAACTTTTGTGTTAAAGCCCTGGCTGTAATTTTATGTTTCATCCCTGCTTCTTCCTTTCATCTTCTGTTAGCTGGCCTCAGCTGCCTTGTTTCCTTTGGCCGCGCTTTCACACTGCGCCGGGGCACTTAAAGCAGCAAAGAAGCGTTTATGGGTGGTACAGTTAATACACCGGTCATCCCTTTCATCTCTTAAAGTGGTAAATGTGCCTGGAGTTCGTATATTGTTTCAATACATTTCACCGTGGCTTGTCCTCACTTTTGAGGTTCTTACATCATCATTCCCTGTCCCGTATTTCAGTTATCTGTCCCGATGCAGTGGATAGTGCCACCCGCAGATTCCTTTTTTGTCTGAAAGTTAACCTCATGCTGAGTGGGAGATGCCTGGCAGAAGCTTTTGCAAAGCAAACTCGGTTTTCTTTTAAAAATCGCTTTTAAAACTCTACTGGGACCTGATGCTTATGAGATTTTGGAAGTTACTTGGACTCCGTACTGATAGGTGTGGGGTTTGGGATGGAGTTTTTTTGTAGTTTTTGAACAGTTGACAATTCCCTTGAATCTATTGGTCTAGATTTTCTTTTCAAATTTCATGCCAAATTCATTTATGATCTTCATATAACACCTGGGATTGTAAGAGTCTCTTTGATTTGGGCCATTAGCAATAATAGTAATGCTGGTAATCAACAAGTATTTTTCAAACTGGGAGATCATTCTGAGTAGTCTTGCAATTTATTTAGTGACCAGTCTTGTCAGAACCGTGTTCTGTTTTAGGACAAAGTGCTTGTCTGTCTAGTGCATTCTTATGAAGGCAGTGCTTAGGCTAAAGAGATTATGTTCCAGGAGAGCACCTGGAAGATGGGTTTTCTGAGGAAGACACTTCAAAATATTACAGTCTTGCCTTGCTTTTGGTGGTACTCCTTCGCTAAGGATTTTTATTTTGTTTTGGGGCTGGGTGTTCTTTTGTTTTGTGGTGGTGGGTTTATTTTTTTGTGGTGTGACTTATATTGATTTGTTATGCTGAAGTATTCTTAAAATGCCCCTGAAATTGGCTGAAAACAAAAATGTTAGTGTCTTGAAGAGTGTTTTGAAGAATTGGTTGGAAAACCTGTAAGTTTCAGTTGTCACAACACAAACTGGGTTCCCGTGCTTTTGCACTTTGGTAAAGAGGGCATTGTTTGATATCTCTGGTCTAATGTGCTTGATAGCCTTGCATGAAGGAGGGAACAGCTGGAGAACTGAGTGTGTCCTTCATGCAGTCTTGTGTTGCTGTATACCTGGTTTAGTTTCTAATTGTTCTTTTGTGTGTGGTCTTCAATAGCAAGTGGTGTCTTGAAAGGATTTGACCCTCTTCTGAACCTTGTGCTTGATGGTACCATTGAATATATGCGAGGTAAGTAATATGCTGTCTGTGTAAAGATGCCTTTTTTTTTTTCCTTCCCCAAAGAATAATTTTCTTAACAGAAATCTTACAGCTCTGTGGGTGAATAATTGGAACCTGCAGGTTGACATCATCTGAACTGAGACATGTTCGTGGTAACTAAGTTGTAAAGAAAGGGACAAGATAACAGAAGTTAGATTAAGCACATTCCCTGTGGTAAAACATTCTTGGTAGTCCTTGCTTGAGCTCATTCTTCGCTGTTGTCTTGAATAAAGTAGTGTGTCTCCCTTCAGATAAAGCGATTGCCTTTGTTTATGCTGCTGGAGGGTTGCTGGTTTGCTCAAAGCAGGAAAAGCGTCTCAGCAAGAACTAGTATCTGACTGTCTTAAACTCTACTATAAATGTGGTCTTAGCATTTCTGTGGAGCTAAAGCCTTCTGGAGCTTCTTAGAGCTAATAGAGCCATAGGGATTTTTCTTGTGACTTGTTTCTTTTTCCCGTCCAAGGATCCATACTCCCATTTCCCTTTCTCCTCTCTGAAACCGAATTTATCATATGTTTGGACAGTGGTTTTAAAGAATATTATCTTGCCTGCTTACAAGGAAGCACCTGAAGCTTTAATTTTGCTCTTAGAAGGGAGTTTTAAAAGATGTGTAGTGCATTTTTGTTGACACTATTGACATCTCAAGGAGGGTAGAATTGAGTGTTGCTGTGTTGTTTGTCTGTCCCCATCCGCAGCCTTGTTTGGCTTGGTCTGGGAATGGATCAGTGCATTCTGAAGTCAGGTTGTTTTTCTGATTTGCATTGATCCCAAAATGTTTGTCTATAATGGTATTTGAAATGGGATCAGGAGCTTTTTTAATCACTTACGTGTATGCTTTTGGTTAGATGAACGAAAGGGCCTTTGAATTCTTTAAAAGGTATGTGTTCTGCTTTGGTTACAAGGTGAAGTTCTTTATTGCTCGCTGTGGCATGTGCTACTCTGCAAATGAGTAAATTGGTAATGTCTTGAAGACATCAGGTATTGCTGCTGCACCACTTTTATAGCCCGTATGTTCAATAAAACAATGCAGAAACACCTGGAAAAAACCCTTATCTCTGTGCTTTTTGAAGTTGATGACATTTGGTTTCTTTTCCTTGTGTTGCCGTTGTAACTGAATCTCTGCTTTTTAGATCCAGATGATCAATACAAATTAACAGAAGATACACGTCAGCTGGGACTGGTGGTCTGCAGAGGGACTTCTGTGGTTCTTATTTGTCCCCAGGATGGAATGGAAGCTATTCCAAACCCTTTCATTCAGCAGCAAGATGGCTAATGCTTTCTTTGGATTGTCTCTGAAGACTTCAAGGGTGCAGATCATTGGAGAAAACTATCAATGTGTGAGAAGCTTCCTGTTTTGGGGGAGGTGTTTGAATGTGTATTTGTTAGTGTGAAAGAACAGTCAACTCTTATTTTTGTGGCTTTCCATAAATGATGAGAGGATGGGGCATGGTGTGTAAGAAGTAAGTTCTCATTTTAAATTTTTTTCCCCCAAATAAATGTGTAACTACATTGTTTAGAGCTGATAGGAGAGAATATATTGTCGTGGAATTGTCTGAAACCCTCTTGATCTTGTGAGTTTTGAAACAACCACATAAAATTAGTAAAGGATCCCCTGAATATTTGTTATATTATTTACACTTAAAAATACATTAAAAATGTATTTAATCTAAATTAATCTAAAGCCTAAATACATTAAAACATATTTTTCTCCCTCTTTGATGTTGGTACTCAGCTGGGAAGCATTGTGGGTTAGTCTTTGCGCTGTTGAGTTCAGTCTCTCTTGCCTCCCTGCTCCAGCGCATGCAAGAAAATTACTTTCCTTGCATGGTACCTTCTTGTCACCTTTACAAGCTGTGCAGCTCAGAAGGTCTTTTCTAGCACTTTTTCCAGATCTTGTGGGCTGCAAGGTGTGTATCAGAAGGCTCCCACATTTCTACAGAATGACTGGACTAATTTGTAGGATGATTCTTGACTGAGTGACGTAAACCTTATGGGTATCTATTTGATACTTGGAATTTTAGGGGAAGAATATTTAAGATTCTAATGTTCAGTTGTAGGCAGTGTCTGGAAATACTGTATATTTTTATATTGTAGCTATCCACTTGTGGTTATGCTTGTTATAATTTGATTTGTAAGTAAACACTTTTATTTCTTTTATACTGCAGAATTAGCAAGATTTGAGGAGTTTCAAGTGAATAAATACAAATTAATCTGTTCCCAAATGTCTGGGTTTTAGTCTGAAAAAGTGCTCTGCAGCTGACACTGCAGTTCTGCACAGCTGCAAATCTAAATGAAATTTGTTTAGGAGGTGTGTAAACACAGCAAAATCAGGAGGGACCAGCTAGAAGCTGTACTCCACTGTAAGTCAAGAAATCGATGAGAAATGACTGGCAGCATCTGGTCCCTTTTCCGAGGACTCGTGCATTTCTGTTGGGCCTTGTAAAGACTGTAGTGGAGGATGTGTGCCCGGAGGCTGTATGTAACCTGCATTTGCCACCTGCTTTTCCTGAGGACCTTTATGAGGAGGCTGTGGCAGAGTAAATTGTTTTGGTGGTAGCAGCAGTCTTGTTCCTAGAGGTTGTCAAGTCAACATACCAAGGGCAGGTTGTATTGGCTGTTCATTTTGGCAACAGCGCCATACTCCCATTTGTAGCCTTTCCTTGGTCAGCTCTAAAGCAGATGGGAACTTGAAGTAAATAAATTTCAGTTCAGTGTATGTGACTTTTCCAGGAGGCTGTGAAACTGGGGACCAGGTGTCTTGTGTGGCAAATTGCCTGTGTAAACTTGAGTGCTTCTGGATTTTAATCTCCTAGGGGTTCATTCTTTGAGTGCTTCTGAGAGATGTCTGTAGAGTCATGCTCCTTCCAACATAATTTTTTTTCTAATACTGTAAAATTTGTTTTTCATGTAATTGCACGATTCAAAAGACACCCCTTATCTAGAGTGTTTGGAACAGAATTTGCTTGCCATCAGCCTGAGTAGTCTTGAACTGTCCCTTAGGTGGTTGATAACAATAACATGCTGCACCATCTCTGCACACTCTTGTTTTCTGAGTGTGGTGTCAGAAACAGACTTGTCGAAGCTCTATTGTGGATTCCAGGCTTTGGATGCAGAGGGTGCAGAGAGATCTGCCTGAAGTAGTGTGTCATGCATGTAACTCTGGAGAAAGGCATGCTTCCAGCGTCAGTTCATAGATTGCTAAGGTACGTGGCTATTCTTTACTGCAGTGCAGACTTCTGGTTATGTTTAAGAGTCAAGTACCTGGAACTAAGAATATGAAAATGGTAGGGAACAAACTTTTTAGTAGGGCCTGTTGCAATAGGACAAGGGGTAGTGGTTTTAAACGAAAAGAAGGTAGATTTAGACTAGATACAAGGAAAACATATTTTACAAACACTGGCACAGGCCTCCTGGAGAGGTGGTAAAGCCCCATCCATGGGAACATTCAAGGTCAGGCTGCATGGGGCTCTGAGCAACCTAATCCAGCTGAAGATGTCCCTGCTTACTGCAGGGGGTTGGACCAGAGCCTTTAAAGGTCCCTTTCAACCCAACCCATTCTACAATTCTGTAGCTGAATTTTAAATGTGTATATGTTTTTCTGTTGGATTCATTCCTAAATGTGACTCTTTATAAAACCATTTGTAACAGCAGTTTTGCAGAAACCTCTTACAGAAATGCCGGAGGTAACCTCCAGGGCAAAAAGTCGCTATTAATCCAGATAGCACTATTCTGCTTACTGAACTCCACTGAGAAATGGAACTGAGGCTTGTTGGGATAGGCTCTTTGGGATGAGGGGCACTAGTTGAAGGTCACTATACATATCTTTCAACTTAATAGCTTGGTCTAAACACTTTGGAAGAATTAATTGTCTGGAATCAGTGAGCTATTGCTTGTACTATGACTGTAGTTAGTTATTGCATTGAGATGAGGATGACTGTGACAGCCCTCTGGGTTTGAATGCTCATTCCTTCTCCCTGTCTCTTAGAAAGTTAAATATACACTAAGTACTGTAGTCAGCCTGGATTTTGATATTAAACTTGAACTGATGAAGGATGTGGCATTGGGGAAATCTGTGTTTTTTCCCAGGAAGTCTCAAGCTTTCCTGTGTTTTTGATTTGCAGAAATGAAAAGTATTGTAATGGATACTTTTTTCCAAATGGGTTCAATGTTCTTCTATAACTTCTTGATATTTAGTCAGTGCTTAGGAAGGTTTCTCCTCTTCCCTGCTCATAGCCCAGGCTCTTTGCTTGGCTAACAGCTCCCCTGATTTGCTGTGGTTCTACCTGGTTAAGGTAGATGCCAATTAAATATGTGGGGTTTTGGTTATACAGCTCTCCTGCAATTGCTGCTCCGAAAGCAGTGGAAAAGACTGAAGAGCAAAGCAGGAGGGTAGAAAACGTGCTCTATTTTTAGGATAAGATTGGCTTATCTTGTATTTATCCTAGCTAGGGGGATAATGTTTCCAGAGACCTCGCATGAGTAGAGGCTGCATAAGGGCTGAGTTAATTTTAACTGCCTGGCAGTCAACAAGCATGGAGCCTGCACAAGAGGCAGAGGAGCTGGGACCTCGGACAGAAATCATTGCAGACACAATTCTTGAGGTTGGAGAGAGACTCTTTCAGGTCAGCCGTAGGGTACTTTCAGTGCACAGTCGTTATTTTGAAGCCATGTTTTTTGGGGGGGCAAGAGAGAGCTCTGAACACTACATAGTGATCAGAGGGATTGATGCAGTGCCTTTTGAGGCACTACTTGAGTTCACTCGCACAGCCCAAGTGCTTATAGGTCAAGAAAATGTGACCAGCTTACTGGAAACAGCTGATTTTTTTCAGTTTGACAGGGTGAAACTATTGTGTGAGAAATTTCTGGAGAGAGCGCTGCATGTCTCCAACTGCCTGGGCCTGATGACCTACTCACAGCACTTTGCCTTTACAGAGCTGTATGTATCTGCTATGAATGTGGCTCTCACTCACTGGGAGGATGTGATGTGCCAGGAAGAATTTAAGGCACTACCCAAAGAAATGCTGATGCAGCTCCTAAAAAGTGATGACCTCTTTGTTTCACGAGAAGATGTGGTTTTTGACAGTGTTATGAGGTGGATAATGGAGGACCCAGCAACAAGAGAGGAAGATTTTCTGGATTTGATGGGTGAAGTCAGGGTCACTTTTCTGAGTTTGTCCTTCCTCGATACCTTGGTGAAACGTAGCAAGCGCCTTGGAGAGACAGATACCTTTTCCAGACTAATAAAGAAGTTAGACAGCTGTTCTCCACCTAGCTGGCAAAGTACAGAACTGTGTCATTGTGCTGGTCGGAGTTATGACACCTTATATGTCCTGGGAGGAAAGCATGACAAGGAACAGCAAGAATTATTTCTCTTTCAACCTAAAACAGGGACCTGGCAGTCTTGCTCTCCGCTGCAGCGCAGGAACCTCACCCAATATGCAGTGGCAGCAGTAGGTAACTTACAGAGAAGTGGGACTGAGCAAATGCAAACAGAAGTTGAGGCTTAGAGACCGAAATGCAGGGAGTTCAGCTGCTGCTTCTGCAAAACTGTGTTGTTCAGCATTGCTTAAACCTCATTCATATTTTGTTCATGTTCGTTCAAAGAATGGTTTTGTTTTCCTTAGTCCTGGGGGAGAATGTTAGACAATGCTGAATCTTTCTTTTCATGTAGCAGAGACATTGAACTCCTTACATTAGGTTTATCTGGAGTGAGTCTAATGACTTCACTTTAAGCAGCATTTTTTTTTTTTTGCCTTCTCCTTCATGGTGGTTTTAACAGATGGTGACTTCTGATTTATAGTTGCTGATAAGTTGAGTTTACCCATGGATGTTGTGAAATGTTCATGCTTGGAGACTTTCAAGGCAGCTCAATGCCGTGGTTGCCCTTACTTAGTGTTGGTGATAGTCCCATTTCAAGTGGGAGTTGGACATGAGATCCCCAGAGCTTCTTTCCAGCTGTGTTTCCAGGAGTCTGTTCGAGTGGGAGCAGACTTGGAAGGACTTACTGCATCCTGTAGGCCCAGCATATCTGTGCAGATAAGGCATCAAGTACTGCAAACTGTTACAAGTGCAGTAATTTTCTCAGCTCATCTTGCACCTTGGTGGTGCGCAGCCCAGGGAGAAATGAGAACCCTCGTTCTCAGGAGCAATTTTCAGCCTTCATGTAACTGATACTTTGCTGTCTTTCCAGGGAGCTTCCTTTTTGTGACAGGAGGATATTTCCGGGATGAGTTTGTGTGGTATAGTGTGGATTGGGTGCTTATCTACAGTTGCCTGGACAATAGCTGGCTGGAAGGGCCTGCCATGAAGAAGTCCCGCAACAGCCATTGTGCAGTAGGAGCAGGGCTCTACCTGTATGTCCTGGGAGGGAGCACAGATGAAGGGATAATCCCAGCAGTGGAGCGCATGGCTTTGATGGAGTCAGAGTGGGAAAGCATGAGTCCTATGGCTCAGGCTGTGGAGAGAGGAGATGCAGTCAGCGTGGGAACCAGGATCTATGTGGTCTGTGGCCTGGATGAAAATGGACACGTATATGATGGAGTGCAAAGGCTGAACACAGAGACAGACAGCTGGGATGTCATCTCATTCTCTCCTCTTCCAAGGTAAGAAATAATGTGGGACCTGGTAGGAGAAGAAAGGTTCCAGTGTTGGTCCTGCTCCAAGAAGAGGTTGGACTGGAGGAAGCCAGAAGTCCTGTCCCACCAACACTTCTGTGATTCTCTGTTTAAACAGGACTCTTGATGTAAGGACCAAGGTCATGCTGAGTATTTCAG